AAAAATCGTGCACCTATGGACGAGGACAGTGGGGGGGGATAGGGGCAGGGAGTGGGGTGGGAACTGGGTGGAGGGGAGCTAAGGGGGAAAAAAAGAGGAACAACTGTAATAATCTGAACAATAAAGATTTTTAAAAAAAAGACTCTAATGATGATGGAGAAATGGATCATGGGGGTGAAACCTCAGCTAAGAGTCTTCAGATGATGACATCCTACATCAAGTTTCTGAAACTCAAGAGTCCGTTAGTGAACAATATATTTCTAATGACAAAAAGAAAATGTGGTATTCTCATGCAGTTAGTCATCAAGAGAAAAAAACATCAGAATTTTGCAACAAGAACCTGGATCATCCATTTTGTTCAATGAATGTGACACAGTATTCTTTCATCTTTTGTGATGTTTATATACAAAATTTTACTTTACATACAGTTTGTTAGTGGACAATTGCTGAAGGTGTATATGTCCACAAAGATGATTGGAAGGTAAAAGATGAGGTAGAAATAATAAAAATTTACCAGATGGTCAAAAAAAAAGAAATGCAATAGTTCTCCAAATACTGTTAATAGCATCACTATCACTAATCATTGCGGTCCTACAATGACGTGCTGTGTGGAATTGTTCTTAGCCAGCAAATCTTCAAATGGCTACACAAAAGTGAACCCTCATGCCTGACTACAAGCTTGGTCATGTCATTGTCCAATCCACCATCATTCATTTTTTCAGCCAGAATGTAGCAGTTTCTAAAAACCTCTGTGCAAAGAGGCAAGTATAAAGACATTGTAAATGAAACATGGATGAAAATCATCCTTTGAGTACCTTCTGGTGGACAGATATATTTGCTTGCTTTCCTTTTTGTTTGTATTTAGTAGAGAATACAGATACTGTTTTCAAATACTGATAGGTGGATTTTCCATTCTTCAATTATTATTTTTAAGTACTAATATGGATAGACAACAGACCACATGATTGGAATAATGAAATAATCTAAAAAACACTGAACAAAATGAGAAAAGTTGCATGTTAAGAAAAGATCTGAAGTCACCTTAGATACCATCTAATTGAACTCTTCATTTGAATAATGAGAAACTAAGGAACTTTGATTGTCATGTGTATGTGCATACATGTGCATGCACGCGCACACCTCCCCTCCCCGCCACACACACACCAGTCACTATCAAATCTTCCATCTTCTTTCTCTATTTGGTAGTTTATGCTCAGTTTCTCTGTCACCACTGTATCTCCAGCATGATATATAGTGTTCTCTCAATGAATATTTGTAGACTGAGGGACAGATTTCTCAGATTTTTTGTAATGTGCTTTTATTTTACATTGAACTTATTTTCCCTCCCAAAATTTCCAGTGGTCCTAATAACTGAGGAATGTTGTTCACGTACTGAGCAAATGATGATACCATGATAGAAACAAAAACTGAAGCAGACCAAAAAGTAGCTTTTTTTTTTTCAGAAGACCAAAGTAAAAAAGCTTTTCAAGGGAGTAAAGCGTTGCTTTACATGACTTATCTTGTTCTTTCTACCCATTGGCACCAAATCGATTAAGGAAATGAGGTAAGGATACGGGGTAGCAAAAAAGAAATGAGGGGGAGAGGGAGAGAGATGTTATTGGTTTCCAAGAGAAGTAGGTGAAGCAGATGGAAGAAAATATAAATATTATGAATACTAAAAAAATAATAAGTAAAAACATATTTCCTAACTGATGCTGTATTAATAGCTTTGCATATGAAGAACACATTTTCTCACATTTCTTAAGCAAAGATGCTTTAACAATACAACAATTTAGAGACTTAAGTAGACTTACAATTCCCTTAAGTAAGAACAAGTCAGAAATATAGAAGGTATTAACTAGAAAAAAACCATATTATCTATATGAATATGATCAGAATTTCTTCTGAGCTTTTCAACCATCACCAAATATTAGTTTATTTAACCTGCTAAAAATCACTGAAAATACCATCAAAATATAAATATAGTCAAAAATTCAATAAGAAAACTCAGTTTTAATAAGATAGTTTATCAGTGTGGTCCATTGTGATATATATTTTTTTATTTTTAAAATCCCCAAATATATTAAAGCACACCCTTGTTTCTTTGGGCTTCCCTTCCTTCTTTATTAGGATCTGTCAAAAAACAAAGTAGGCCCTTTGGTTGTGTCCAGATCTCATCCCTACTTCTTTTCCCATCACTCTTTGGCATCAAAATTCTATTCTCTCCCTTTTATGTTTCCAATGACA